GAGAGCATGACATCAGAAACAAAAAAAGCCCGAGCGATGGCTTTCAACGAGTTACTACGTCATGTTCCACAGCGTGGTATGTGTCCCTGTTTTAGACGAAACTGCTTTTTCCTCTATTTCGGGTTAGATTTCAGCGCATTTAGTTTTCTCTCATCGTTCTTGATATCTTATTCAACGTATCTACTTCCATGGTGAATGTTTTGCTTGATAATAATGGTCCCTTATTTGTGTCAAACAAAATGGTTTTGGGTTATTTCCCTCGATTGTTCACATTTTTTCGACGAGATTGTATTTGTAACTTGTGTAAGCATATATGCTTACATTTCAGTTAAAAATGTGCATTGTTCGTCACGCAGAATGAAATAAAAATAATAATAAAAACAAAAGGTAAACAAGGTCGGTGATATACGTATCATGTACAAAACATTTGATGTAGTTCATTTGAGACCTGTTCCTTTTTGGTGAGTAGTCGGGCCAGGTAGGGTACAGGGGAATTTTTATAAATATTTATGCTAGAGGGTAGCTGTCGAAATGAGGAGCGTGTGGACGGATGGGAACGACAAGACGATAGATAGGGTGTAGTTGATGAAGAGGGTCGTCTAGAATCTTGTGAGCAAATTTAAAACAAGAGTTGATGTGACTATCAATGAGATTAATAAATCAATTGGGATTAGTGATGCACGACTGATTGTCACCAAACCGCGGCGAAGTGTTTTGAAGTCGTGTTTTAAAAGACCGGGAAACACTACAGGAGAGCAATAAAGTGGAATGGGTAAAACGCATTGCTGAACGAATGATGACAGGACTGATTGTGGGGTTCGGAATTGCCTGAGTTTGCTTAACTGAAAACATAGGTGTCTCAGTTTTCCCATACAGTTGTAAATATGTGTAGACTAATGAAGATTGCCGTCGATGGTGACACCCAGGTGCTTGACTGAGGTCATTCTGGATACAGGTTTACCGTTAAGGGTATCAGAGTTCATTGGAAATGCGAAGCGGAAAAGACTGAAAATACACTCTACGCACTTAGATATCTTAAAACTGAGACCAGATTGGTCGGAAAACTGTTGAATGCGGGATAGGTTTTCAGTAAAAGAATGAAATTCCGAAGGAGATAAAATTGTCTGACACAAAACAACGTCATCAGCATACTTTTGTATGTGCGTAGGGGGTGAGACCGAAAGATAACTAATAAAGGCAGAAAAAAGATATGGAGGTAGAACAGCACCTTGAAGAACACCAGAATTATTAACAAGAGGTCTTGATGTCCTCCTTGCTAATTTAGTTCACAGGACCCTCTCTGTGAAGTACTCAGCAAGCCATGAGAGCAGTTGTTTTGGAAGACCAACAGATTCAAGTTTAAAAAGAAGGGATAATCGGGAAGCATAATCAAACGCAGACGAATAATCAAGAAAAACACAACGGACAGACTTGACCGAATGGTTCAATGACTTGCAGACAAAATGCACTAGAGTGGATACGGCGTCCAATGAAGACCTGTTTGGTTTATATGCAAACTGAAGGGGGTCATGGGGAATTGTGGTGTCTGACTGCAACCGACTCAGGATGGCTTTTTCAGTTACCTTTAGAGCCGCTG